TACCTGGGCAATATGAGCCCTATCAATCACTGCCCTCCGGCCTCAGATGTAATTAAACTTCCAGTTGTTGACTAGCAGGGTAATTTGAGGCATCACTGGCATGCTTTTACCGGCTTGCATTAGAGGATTGCCAGTGCCTGTGTCGACAGCATCGTGTTCTCTGATGTTTTTTTAATACGTCTTTCGGGGATGCTAGCATCAATTGCAAGGGTTTTTGAGAGTGATATAAAGCTCTTTCATGTGAACTTTGTTAAAACCTTTCATTTTGAGAAAAAGGAAATGACCTCTCCTAATAGCAGTTCAACCTATTGATGGTTTATCTTTTTTTTTTTTTTTACATTTTGTGTTAGAACTATTTACTCAGATATAGGTAAAAAAAATCCATTTTTTACTCTACCATGACTTTTATATTGTAAAAAAAAGTTTTTTTTCCTAGAAGGTCTGTGTATTTAAATATGTCTAGATCTCTTATGCTAAAATATACTGATGACAAAGCAAAACTGAGTTGGCTCTCCTACTCAACTCAACTTTGTTTATAAAGCCCTTTAAAACAACCACAGCTAACACACACTGCTGTACATGTCAGGTAAAGTTAAAACTGAAACAATATAATGCAATTATTTAATTAAAACAAATAAATACAACATAAGAATAAGAACAATAACACAAACACAAAAACAGAAAGCCAAAGAATAAATTTGACTCATAAAAACAGTGTTTTAGCACCAGTACCAGATGCCTATTAAGATTTCATTATAATATCTTAATAAAGGGATGTACAGTAAGATATAGATTATAAATTGGTATTAAGTTGATTAATCTACAGAAGATGGCCAGTACTACTATGAGCTATGTTAAAAAAAAAGACTGTACAGGTATGACTTGTGTAGAAAGGTTTGGGGATCAGAAATAGTTTCTGAAATTAAATTGCAAAGTTGCATATCAAAAAAACAAAATTCTTGTAGATAAATGTTGTTTGGAAAAGTGGGATAGGTGTAGGTGTGTTGTCAAAATACCACAGAGGAACCAAACACAGAATATCAGTAAAACGAATGATCATGGTAGAGAAAACGTGATGGTTTGGGCTCAGTCCAACTCCAGAACTAGAATACCTGAAATCTTGTCAATGGACCTTTAGAGATCTGCGCAGGAAAAAATCTCTACATCTCATTGAACTGAGGTCATGTTCTAAAAACAGCTGAACAGAATTTCTCCACAGTGATGTGAAAGAGTGATTAAGTTATAGTTCTATTTTTAGTATTATGTGGTTCCACAACATATTTTTCATAGATAGCTTTTTCTTTTCTATTTATATTAGATTAGGTTGTGTTTTATACACTTAAAGGTATAGTGAAGGATGTTATTTTTCCTAGTGGATCATCAAAATAAGTGGTCCTCCACATTGTCAATCATTCTGGTGATAGAATGATTGAGAATCTGGTAAGTCTAACATACTGGAAAAATTGCAAATCTTCTTTTGGAAAATAAGCTTGTATAAGCGATGAAATGGCTTGATGAAATGGGCTTGTAAATGGGCTTGTAAATGGGCTTGTGAAAGCTCTCGCACGCGTATTATACATGTTCCCTCTCAGGAGCGGATACAGGGTAGTGCATGTGTTTTTTTGTTTTTTTTTTAAGTGGAGAGGGGAATTCTTTTTAAAAATTCGAGAAAATCCTCCACTATATCTTTAAGACATAAGAATTTTTTAACTTGGTTGAATTGTTTTTTTGGGGGATATTTTTTGCTTCCATAAATATTTTAAATAGGATGTACTTCATTCCTTGCATTGATTAACAATCATGTAATGATCGACAGAGAGACATTTTCTTAAATATTGTGATATTAGATAGATTGCAATGGCTGTAGATAATTGTTTATCTATTTCTCTTTTGTGTCTTTTTAACACGCTGTGATGACATTCGCCAAAATCTGGCTAACCCTACAATCATGAAAACCAAAGTTGAAATTTATGATAATCAATAATATTTTTGGCTGTTTTCGTTTACATAACAAGCACAACTACACAAGGATCAAATACGATTTCTTCTATTTTAATCAAACTAAATTATGCATCCTTTCCTCCCCTAAGTGCACCTGCCTGAGTCAACCTGCGTTATATCCTATTTCCTCATGCTGTTATTTGTTTCAGAAAACTTTGGTTTGATTCACACCAGTAATATTTAGGAGGCGGAATAAATCTTCCCTCTAAGAGGTAGATAATTGGTAGCTTTCATCCCTGCATTGGAAATAATTATTCCAATCTGTGATGTTTCAATAGGAAGTGTGCTTTAGTGTGGTGGGGTTTGAATGATTTATTAGACAAAATGAAATGACACAATAATGACGGTCCTCTCCCGTCACTTCACCTCATTGCGACTCTTTGTGTTTGCTGTGTTTATTTGTTGGGAAATCTAAAGAGCGCTACCTGGATGACTTTTATTGCTGCAGATTGTGTACCTTTCTGTTTTTTTCACTATGCGCATAAAGATTTTTCCATACCTATCCATCAAGCAACGCCATCAGGAAGGCTTAAAAACAACGAGTGCTGCAACAGATGGTCTGCCTCCCCCTGTGGAGCCTTGATCTCAGCGTCCTGGAGTTGGTGTGATTTTTACACTAAGAGTCAGGTTGACAGTGTTGCACTAAGACATTTCAAGAAACAGAATTAGACATAACTACCGACTGGAACTTAAATACTTTTTTATTTATCCACAAGAAATAAATAGATCAATAAAAGCAATGTCAAGGAAAAATATTTTCTATTAGCCAACACAATGTTGAACAATTGCTCAAGAAAAAAATGACTATTACATCTTACCTTCAAAATGAATCTTTACATCTTCCCCTCCATCACCTAAATCCCTGATATGTCCTGCAATAAGGTGATCAAATGAGTGAGAAAAATGATTGAAGTAATGATAGAAAATTGCAGACTTCACACTTTGCAGGTAGAGTGGGTAGTTTTTTAAGTGTTTCATGAGACGCAAGAAGTCAGATGAGATGAGAGAGGCTGTCCATGTACCTTTTATGAGGCCTGGTGTGTGTGCATCTAGTCCACCTTCTATAGTCATTGTCTTAAGCAATGTCCAAGGTATTTTGGTCTATATTTCCACATTAAACATTGGCTGATAATATCTGTTTTGTAGTGTTCACTTAGCTTTTAAAGATTTTCAACTGCTCCATTTCTAAAATAGAAATTTATTGTGCTTATGACTACAATGAAGGTCAAACACACTATGTGTAGTTTGTTACGGGTAAGCTGTCTCTATAGCAACTTAAAATCGTTAAGAAATTCTGATGCTTTCCTTGTTCAGTACTAGGCATTGGCTGGTAGGAAAATCTGATGATAAAGTAAGCAAACCTTAAATAAAGGTTTAACTTTATATAAATTATAACTTATTCAATGATCTCATTGCTTTGACTTTAAAATAGACACTAGTACCACTGATTGTAACAGAATTAAGCATATTGATTAAGAAACAACTTGAAGTAAAACCTGAAAATGAGCTTGTAATTTTTGAGTAAATCTATTAACCAGAATATTTAACATTACTGACATTATGCTCTTTACAAGAAGCTTATATAAGCTGCTTAAATAATCTGCTCATGTAGCTAGATTACAGTTAGCTGCTTTACAGGCATGCTGACATTAATACATGTAGGGATGCTTTATTATGTTCCATACAGCATAAGTGGAGAAAACTCTGCAGTACTTTCTAGTGGTTTCTCTGACATGTCATTGAAATAACTCTAAATCATACAAGGTATTAAGGAAAAACATTTGATGATTTTTAAACTGTAACTTTCTTTAAATCTTCAAATATCAAAAGGTACCAAAATAAAGGCATTCAACTATACAAAGATATTGACAATATGGCTGTATATATATTTTTAATATAATTAGTTTTCTTGGTTTTGGGACACAGATACTCATAGGAAGAAAAAATAAAAAGCTGTTTTAACCAACTAATGTAGGAGGTTTTAAATCATAAAAATATTTGTTCCCTCTTTTTCTGTATCTGTTTCTTTTCTTTTTCTCTTAGTGTCAACTCATGTGGCTTTACGTAGCACAGACACTTGTCTGAAAGGATGTTTATACGATCTTTAATCTCCAAACTTCCCCTTAACTGTCACGGAGGCCAGTGTTTATTCCTTTCTACTCATATTTTTATTTTCTGGCTCTAATCACAGAAAATCTCTAGCCTGTTATGGCCATACTCTGTTGTCTGGCAGTCTTTGCCTGTAGACATTTGTGGGCCTGCATGGGTGTGATCAGGTGTCAGAGGAACAGCATAACAGTGATCCACAGATGGCTGTCACTCAGTCCAATCAAATCATGGCCTCTTAGGCACTTAATTTTTCTTGCCAATGAATGTGGGACTTTTTTTTAAATAGTAAATTGACTGTAATCTTTAATTTAAGCCATCACTTGACCCTCTGCTTGTTGCCGCTGTGACTGACCCTTTTAAAATACAGTAAATCTTACAGCCCTTATGTTTCCACAATACACTGTTTTCTAATCTCCCACCTTAATGCCATAACAATGAAATGTGTATTTTCTCACTGGAAAGCTAACAAGCCTGCAGCTCTTTATGTGTGATCAGTGTTAATCCTGTACTCAGTCTTCCTTAAACAACTCCTGGCCTCCCGGGGGGGTGGCTGTGTTGTTGCTTATCCTCCCACTCAAACAACTCTTGTCCAATCAGCCCACACGCTTGAGCGAAGGGTGGAGAACCTGTCTGCATATGTCCTTGTGTCAAACCTTTCGATTGCAGGTCCTCTCATCTTTTATTGAATTTTTATTTCTGTTTATATATACACAGTCTTATTCAGGTCTGCACAAACAAACCAAGCCTGCTCCACAGTGAAGCTACCTGCGCATTTCTATTTTCTATTTTTTTTTTGCTTTCTTGTTATTTCATATAATGAAAATCTTGAACTTGCATTGGAATGGAAACATGGCATGACATATTTTTATCATTGTTGTCGTTTTCTGCAGCTTTGAGTAGAGCTCCCATCCCCATGGCCGTGGTGAGACGGGAGCTGTCCTGCGAGAGCTACCCCATCGAGCTACGCTGCCCAGGCACAGACGTTATCATGATTGAGAGCGCCAACTATGGCCGCACGGATGACAAGATCTGTGATGCAGACCCAGCGCAGATGGAAAACACACGGTGTTATCTTCCAGATGCATACAAGATCATGTCACAAAGGTAAATACACAACGAGATGAATTAAAGCTCTAACCCTGCCATTTAAACCAACGGAAGATGCAAACTTTGCTTTAGTTCCATTTTGGTGAGAGAATTGTGTCATATTTTATTTTCATTTTACCTTAAGTTTTTAAGACTAAAAATGTTTGCAGTGATAAAAATTTAAAGATGACCTTAATTACTTATAGTCGGCGTTGTATCTTGAAGTAGTGGTTTTGGGTTGGTCATTGATGGCACCATCACTACCAAACCCCTCATAATTATTGTTTCTTAATACAGTAATGAACCAGAATAAATAAGTAATACAATAACAAACAGCTAATAATCTTTTGAAAATGGCCTTAAAGATTAACCTAAAATCACTTAAAGGAAAAAGCTTGTTTCCTATAGAAGGACTGTGTACACAAAAGGACTAGTAAATGGTGCTTTATTAAATTCAAGAAGCTCAAGTGCATTCCTTCACAGTGGGTTGCAAGCTATATATTTTTTTTTTACTTTATTGATCTCACAGTGGAGAAATTAACTCTTTCTGCATTTAACCCATCCCCTTGGGATGGGCGCCCGGGTGGAGAGCAGTGTGGGGTTAAGGTTCTTGCTCAGAGAGCCAGAATGGAGGAAGGGACCAGGTACTTGCACCCTTCTGAGAGCACAAGCACACTGCTCTATCCCACTAGGCCAAAACTCCCCTACAATATTATAGCCACATCTACTTTGTGGCGGTCTGACAGAAGCGTATTAGCTATAAAGTTGGTGCTACTGTACCTTCTGACCACCAGCAGTAGAAAAGACAGGCAAAGTTGTTGTTTCCTTGAAGTATTAGATTCTCTGCATCCTGAGCCACCATGGCCCAGAAAAGCCATAATCTAGATTAAACATGGATTTATGCAAAACAATCACTGCATTTTACTGTCATGTAGCAAGAACATAACCAGAAGTTTTCAAGTAATACAACAAAAGGCTATGGCATTGAGTTTGAGCTAAATGCTAGATTTGTTTTTCTGTTTGAATGTTTTTGTATTTTAGTCTCACATTTGGAATAAGTTTAATATGTAAGAGTTTCTGTTGCTTTATTTTCCTCTAACCCACAAAAAAACCTTAATTCATACAAAACCTTTCACTATGTTACACTTATTGCACATAAAGAGATTTTGTTAAACTTAGGGGTTACTCCTCCAAGCAAAAATATATCCCAGATAATATCTTTATGAAAAGCACTGACATCCTTTGTTCAGTAGTTCATTTATTTTTCCGCATTCCACAATGCAAAGCATACGTGGCTGCAGGAAGAGGTCAACCTCAGAGCATAAGTCTGCTCTGTGAGACTAAGGTCAGATAAAGCTCACAGCATAAACAAAAGTTTGAATATTTTTTGTAACCAACACCATTATTAAGCTCACATCTACACAAATATCACCATACTTCACTATGGTCACATTCGCTGTTAGGGATTTTCATAGTTACTTTTAGTTTTAAACTTACCAATGTTTGCATATCTATGAAAACAGAAGTACAGCTGACTACAGCAAAAATAATCTAATCAGTAGCTGCAAATTCATACTATATGACTAAATGAGTTATGATGGTTAATGATTTTGATTCAAAAATCTGAAAGCTTAGAGTTGTGGTGATTTCTTGAGTTTAGTCTGAGAGTAATCAGCCCTGGGTGTGGCTAGTGAAACTGAACCCATCTTTCTAAAGAATTTGCTTAATCAAAGCAATTCCATGTGTTAACAAAGTAGGCAAATTGTCTCTCCATGGGCTGAGCTGATGTGCACAGTATTTATCCTTAATAAATGAAATCTGCTTTTTATATTTATTCAGTCTACGCTCATTTATATGGTTGCAATTAGGTCTTTCAGATGATGGTGTCTGCAGTAGAAATAGGGATAATAAACATGGTGATATTTGGGACTAATTCCGACCTTATGACTGTGCGTGCACTTGTGCATAATTTGTTTCATGCTGCTCAGTAATCAACTTGTGAGTATTTTCTTGTAAAAAAAAACAAAACATGTAAAGCAGGTAGAAAATAACGTCTTGGGATGGCTAAATCGCAGTTAAAATCAATTCAGTTGACATTAATTCCATCTCAGCATGATTTGTTATGGATTAGTTGACCATATTGAGTTTTAAGTACAAACTTTTACAGAAATGATTATATGTGGTATATACTGTAGGGCGGCAACAAACGATTATATTGCAAATCGATTAGTCTGTAAATTATTATATCGATTAACAATTGAATGGCAAAAGGTTTGTTAAAGAACACTTTTTGCTAAATTAAACCAGGTTGAAACTATACGTTTCCACTTGAGGAGTTCTGGATAGAGCATATTGACATACAAATGACATTTTTCATCTTAAATGAAAAATTTTTTACTTTTTTTTCAAATTTGGTATAATTACTGCTCTAAGTGGGTTGCTCTGTCAGCTAAAGGCACATTTTAGAGTCTCAATACTACAGTTAGCAAATTATTGATTACTAAGTTAGTTGGCGATTATTTCAATAATCGATTACTCACAATTAATCTGATTAATTGTTTCAGCCATATTGGTATGCTTTATTTTTAGTGTTTATAGCACAGAATCGTATTATCCATTATTATCCACGTAATCACTCCTGTTTGATTACTGCTCATAATTTATTTTAACACATATCAATTATCATTTGCAGTTATTGGTCAAAAAATAGTTGCATGAGTTTTTCTGAATGGATCAGAGCTCTGTTTTAAGAATTAAACCCCCTTTAAGCCAAAGCTGCAACACCAACACTTATTTGTCTAGATCTCTACAATGAAGTCTAACTAAGTTCCCTTTTTGTTTTGTAATTTATTGCTAACATAGGGTGATATATATGCTTGTTTTGGAGCTTTAACTAGGCTTGAATTTTAGAAAATATGGCACTCCAGGGGCAGCAAATATTGAGTGCACATGTAATCCGCAGGAACTATTTTGTTGACATATGAGGGCATTAAGAGCAGAATCAAAGCTCCATGCTGAGATCTTTCTAAACATGGATACGTCTTGCTTTGAGGTCAGAACACCCTTGAGAAATGTGAAGGGGCAGGCTTTATCTTAATTGCTCTTCTAAATTGACTTTTTCTAGCTCGCTTTATTTCCAAAAGCTAAACATATGTCCGCTTTCTTTTATTTCTGGAGCTTTAGTTCCACTATGGACCTGCCCCTCTGAGGAAAATACTAATGGACTTTTCGACTCTATCAAACAATTGCTCTTTGGTTTTCAGTTTGGTACCATAGAGTTCAGATAATCACCCGTGTGAAAAGCAGTGGATAGTTAAAAGGGGTAGTTTGAAACAAGTTGTCACATAATTGATGCACCCTGTTGCTCCTTTTTTTTCTCTCCTGGCTGCCCACTCACACTGAAAAATCCTGGCTGGGATGAATCAAAGGGTCTAAAGGGAACATAAAACACAGAGAAGAAGTCTGTCTTTTTAGCATTTCATTGCTAGCAGGGGCGTTTAAACGATGCTCGGAGATAAGTACGCGCCGATTCAGAGCCAGAACACTTTTTCTTGGCGGAGGAAGTGACTAAGTGGATGAAGGGTGTGGGTGTTGTGAATTGAAAATGGATAAGGAAGAGGAGTCGGGATCAGGTGAGAGGATTCAATGATAATAATTGCTGCAGTGACTCTGCTACACATTAGTATGTGAAGGTTAGCACAACGAATGAGCGCCACCTACCACGACCTTTTTACTGTAGGGCTGCCGATGCATTTGCTCCGCGTCACAGCTCGTTAAGAACAGAGAAATTGATTTAAACAGAGAAAAAATTTTGTTTTTAAGATTTATATTTGACCAAAGATACATTCTCTTTGTAAATTAAACATTCCAGCCAGAGCTGCTTCCTTTATAAACCATAGAGTTAAAAAACAAAACCCAGGTGAGCAATGGCATAAAGGTCTATGTCTCTGTCTCTTTAAAATATGAAGTTTATGAAAAGCATTATTAAAAAAAATGACAAGTTATTTAATGCACCTGGTTCACTAAGGTCATATTTTTACAGAAAGAATCCACTGGGAAATTGTGGCTTTTTAATAAAGCTTTTATTTTTTTATGCTGAGACACATTTTATGGAGTTCAGATTTCTTTTTAAGAACTATTGTTTCATGGGATTGGTTAAAAATATACTTTCAGATATGGAATGATCTGTCTAGTTCAGTGCCTTGAGTTAACATAAGTTGTGAATTGTTACTATATAAATGAGCTGTATCATAATTAACTATAAATTGTGACACATTATCTTTTTTTCAAACCTTCCTTCCTGAATAGTAATTGAATTGAAATAAAAGCTGTTGTTACACCATGCATGTTTTAGGCTCCATCCATAAGATTTGAATTAGGTATCAGAACAGAAAAGGCTTAAAGCTACAGCTGGTATTCCTACTCACAGACTTGTTTGTTCTACTGGGTGACATTTTACTTGCATCCTAGACATTAAATACATTATGTATTCAAAAAAAGGAAATAAAAAAATCTGAACTGTGTGAGCTGCAGGTCTGTAAAAACTCCTACCAATCTTTGCCATTCGGACTGAATGGAAAGAAGTCTGCCTGGTGGAAAAAATATGATTAAAAGCACAGTAGCAGAAATCACATGACTTTCACCCCTTGGCACATTTCTTGACGAGATATACAAAATGTCATTTTTTTTTGCTTTTTGTTTAGTGTATTTATTTCAATTTATCAAAGTTTTACAATAAACATAAAACAATCGAAGCTATGTTTGACAGCAAATTCTTTCTGGTGGGTTACTTACTTATTTCTCTTTGCTTTTTCACTTAATGAGCAAAACCAAGACTCCTTTAACTTTGATTGAAGTGTGTAAACACTTTAATGAGCATTCCTGTTCGGGATTTGGTTTTGCCACCTACTTTCATGATCCCTAATGTAGACACACAAAAACCATAACAGTAAATTAGCATGATTAAAGCATATGAATGGTTTAAAGTACCCTGATTTCCTCTTAACTTGTGGTTTTTA